AGAATCAGATAGGTATATATTCGATTAATAAGCTTAATAAGATTAATAAGCTTCTAGGCTTATTCTAAACTTTATTACTCAATATCTCAAAAACTATGTATGCATCGCAGAATATTTTAATCTGTTTCAACGTGTAATTTTACAGCTAGAATATTATACCATGTTTGAAGCGTTTTTGCGACAAAAAGTTGTTCGAGCATTTTTACGAAATCTCAAAAAAATCGACAGTACTTAACCAAATCCGATTTCGGGTGTAAATTAATGACATTGCGTCAACTATTCTAAATCCAGAAACKAGGTGGTTGTATTTCAAATTTTCTAATGATTTTTATTATTAAAAAAATAAAATAGTAATTACTGTTGAATAATGTATTACACTATGGGTGATATCATTTTTCAGTATAAAAGTTTGTAAATGGTCTAAAACACTAAGGCTAGGGCTTAATTATGTCCGTTAAATGTAGTAATATTAACTTTGTTTGGTTTGTAATTTAAGAATATTTTAATCATAGTCTGATTTAATCTTTTCTAATGGTTGTGATTTGAGATAATGAAAAGGGTGATTTAAAGCGAGTGTTCCAGCGCGCTTCTCTGTCCATTGTCGGCTGGACATGGGGGTGCTTCTTTATTCGCTTGGTCACATTTACATGTATTTGCATGTGGTGATCACTGGTCATTTATAAACGAACTTGGTCCGTGTCACTGATCGATTACCCTGTCATTCAAATGCTTCCGCATATTTCATAGTGTTCTTTGCCTGCAGAATACATCTCTAAATTACTGCAATAAACTTAATCGCAAAACCATTCATAACTATTCCACCCTTTTATTGAAATTAATATCTCAAAGCCCAAATCGTCCGAAAACGCAACAAACTTGCAGATATTGGGTCTAGTAAAACCGACGTGTAATTGCGTTTTTTATTGTCTTTTGTTGTCTGTTTACATTTCGAGTTACAACTGTCATCAGAACGTAATGAAATTTTTATCATAGACCGATGTGGATTTCTTGTGTATATTCAAGTTTTATGTGGATTTTCCATTAGTTTTTCACGGTTTTAATTGTATTTCATTTAATGAAAATGCGGACAGGTACGGGAGGAAATGTCCAGTCTATAAATTAAATAGCGTTACACAAAGCTACGGAACGACCAATTCGTATAAATTGTACTCGATCATAAACTGGAATGTTCGAATTGGATTGCCAAACGCGTTATCTTGGCGAGCATAACAATTCGAAAGTTTAATTGCGGAGTTAACTACTGCTATGTCCATTACTACCGTTTAATGATGAGGTGCATGTCGAATCGATGTCCTTATACATGGAAATATAAGAACACTGTTTCCAAAATCCCAACTTGAAACATCATCACACACCACTATTTTCGCTACTGCTAATCAAATTTCAGTCGACCCTATTAGAACTTCGTAAATATTTAATACGCCAATTTCTCGTTTTTATTTCCCAGCAAGTGCTAAAAACAAAATTACTTTGGCGACCAGCGCAGGCATATAATTTCGTGTTTCTCTAATCGTTTACTTCAATGGTTAAAGCTAAGTTTCATGACGGAGTGGACATTACTGATTAAATTTGATGAGCTATTAGCTGCGTTTAAACACTTTTTATTGCTCACCAAGTTATGACTATGGTGTTATTAACAAAACGTTAGGACTTTAAAGAGTAAGCTTTTCGCAGCTTTCATACACCCAAAATATAATGTTTTCGCCACTCGTTAAAAAAAATATTTTTTTAAGATTGAATTATTATATTTTATGTTATTTAGTTCTAACAAAACTCAGTTTTTAACATGAAATGTAAAAAAATTGTTAACAATTTTATAATTAATTACTTTAAGAGCCTACTTATAGGA